ACAAACGAGTTGTGGGGGGCAGATTGCAAATAATACTTTTCAGTTGGAATTCCTGTGAATGAGTGCTAACTTTAAATATGTTATAGTGGTCTGTGTTATTATATTAGTGCAAAAATTCTGACTAATACTAATTTTGGGAAGGCCAAGTATCTCTAATTTCTACTCTAGGATGTCCGGATATGAAGCTCTGATTGTAAATTCCAAATACATGTACTTTAAACACCAATCCTGTTGCTGTTGAGTCAATTGTGACCCATAGCAACCCTATAGGACAGAGTAGAACTGCCCTATAGTGTTTCCAAGGCTGTAATCTTTTATTTTATTTTATTTTTTTAATTGTGATTTGGGTGAAGATTTACAGAGAAAATTCACTTTCCATACAGCAGTTCACATACACTTTGTCTCATGACATTGACCACAGTTTACCATAATGCAACAGCTCCTCTCCCACCTCCTCCCCACAGTTACCTCTTCCCAGTGTCCATCCCTCCATACACTCCTGCCCCCTGAGCTGTCTCCCTGTGCATAAGCAGCCCTTCTTTCTCCCATAATTGTTCTCTCCAAGGAGTGTATCTACTTGAGGTAAATGTTCAACTCATATGCCTGTCTTTTGTTTGGCTGGAAACCAGAGGTGTGGGTTCAATTCCAGACCTGAAGGGAAGCTAGGGGCCATAGTCTCAGCGGTTCCACCTGGCTCTATTGGATCAGCAAACCTGGTCCCCCTCTTTTTTTTCCTCCAATGATTTTGAGATTTGTTCTACATTGTTCTCCCTCTCTATCCGGGATCTCCTACATAGATCCCCTTTCAAGTGGATGACAGTTGTAGCTGGGCACCATCTAGTTCTTCTGGTCTCATAGTCGTATAGGCTGCAGATCAGACCAAGGCTGTAATCTTTATGAGAGGAGATTGCCACATCTTTCTCCTGAGGAGTGGCTGGTGGATTCAAATTGCTGTCCTCTGGTTAGCAGCTGAGTGTTTAACCACTGTGCCATAGGCACATATACTCTAAATACATATACATATACTCTAAATCACTGTGCCATAGGCACATATACTCCAAATACATATACATATACTCTAAATCCTCTCTGTGTCCAACTTTCTCTATACAGGCATATATATATATATATATATATATGTGTGTGTGTGTGTGTGTATGCTAAATTAAACATTTTGACCTATTAGTAAATGGAAGCTAGACATTTTATGAATGACATTCTTGTAGTATGAATATGTCATAAAGTGTTACTCTGGTGGGCAAAATTTTTTAGACAGTTTATACCAAACAGATGGTTTAGAGAAGTTGGGATTACTTGGAATAGCATGGGCTCCTATAGGACAAGGTTACTAGGTTAAACTAAATTTCTTCTCTTTTTATGACAGGGTATTTTATTGGTATTAAAAAGGATATTGTATGTAGATTTTAGCAAATTGGTACAATCTCTCTACTTTACCAATGGCTAGCTGTCTACTGGATCATAGTAGGAGTAATTGGTTGAAGCAAAAATGACTGTACTAAACACCAATCTGAAGAGGCATCTCCTAGAACTTTGGTAAAGTAACTCTAACTGAGCTTTGTCCTATTCAACTTATTTATTACTTCCATTCAGGAGGAGACAGTGACATTCTTATCAAATCAAAACATAACAGGTAGCCAAAAGGCAGAGACAACTTACTTACAGAAAAAATCAGGGTCACAAATAATCTTGATTCCTGTCACAGTGATCTTAATTTAATACAATAAATTGCATTATGTAGTTACTTTCTACCCCCTCAACCCACAAATTGTTACAAATGACTCAACCTAAAAAGATCTTTTACTTAGGTTTATTAATAAGAAAGGCCACCACTATGTGAGCATTTAGTATATGCAAGGCAGTCTGCTGAGTACCTTATATAATTTTATGTTAGTCTTGACAAGAACCCCTTCAGACAATAGTAGTAGTGGAAGTGGTGGTGGTGGTGGTAATAGAATAATAATAGCAGTGATGATATCTAACAGTTAAACCAAAACCAAACTCAACTGCTGTCAAGTCGGTCCCAACTCATAGCGACTCCTCCTTGGGTTTCTGAGGTAGTATCTCTATGGAAGTAGATTGACCAGTCTTCTTTCTGAGGAGTGGCTGGTGGGTTTGAACCACCAGCCTTCTGGTTAGCAATCAGCTGCCTTAGGCACTATGCCACCAGAGCTCTGATCTAACAGTTATAGAGCATTTTTTGTGTACCAGATTCTGTTCTAAGCATTTTACACTCAATTCTCACAACAACCCTGTAGAGTGATCCCTGTTATTACCTTCTTTATGTAAAAAACCAAACCCAATCCCACTGCCATCACGTTGATTCTGACTCACAGCAACCTTATAGGACAGAATAGAACTGCCCATAGGATTTCCAAGGTTGTAAATCTTTGCCAGAGCAGACTGCCTCATCTTTCTCCTGTGGAGTGGCTACTGGATTTGAACCACCAACCCTTTGGTTAGCAGCCAAATGCCTTAACCACTGTGCCACTAGAGTGCCTATCTCCTTTATATAGATGAGGACACAGAGAAGTTAAATAACTTGCATAATGTCACACAGTAATTTGACCTAGTACACAAACCCAGTAATCTGATTCCAAAGCCTCCACTCAACACCTCTGCATTATAGTGTTTTCCAGGTACACTTCTTACTCCCTTTTTACAGGAGCTCTGGTGGCAAACTGCCTAAGGCATTTGACTGCTAACCAGAAGGCTAGCGGTTCAAACCCACCAGTCACTCCTCGGAAGGAAGATTGGGCAATCTACTTCTGTAGTGATACCGCCTCGGAAACCTATGAATTAGAATCGATTCGATGGCAGTGATCACTCACTCAATCACTTTACAGATGCAAATCCTAAAGGTTAGAGAAGTTGAAATACTTCTCCAAGTTTCTAGTAAGCTAGTAGACTTGGACTCAATCCCAGGATGCTTTTGATTTTGATAGCTGATTATTAATTAGTCTGCTGTCCTGCCCCCCTAGACCAGGTTTATATATTATCTGTTGTAATCTTGATAACAACCTTGTGAGGTCGCTATTGTATCTCCCATTTCACACACAGGAACCTGAAAGTTCAGGAGCAAGTTACCCAAGGCTACTCAGATAGTGAGTAAAAGAGTTGGAATTCAGACCCAGGTCTGCCTGACTCCAAAACCCACATTCTTAAACCATATGCTGTGCAGGACAGGAAAGATGTGACAAAACAATAGCATTAGTGAAAGAGACTACTTACAAGTTCAGTGATGCCAGTGCCATCAAAGTGAATGCCATTAGAGGCTGCATTCTAGAAATACAGTATTCAGAGCTAGGAAGGGGACAATCCCACTCTATTCTGTACTGACAGAGCACACCGGAGGTACTGTGTGTGATTCTGGGCCCCACACTTTAAAGGAGGATTCCAGATACATGTAAAACTCACCCAGAGGCGTACATAGTGTTGGGCCTGGTGAAGTGTCTGATTAACATGGTTATAGAAGGATTGTTAGAAATCTGAGAATATTTATAGCCTCCCAAAGGAGACTACTTAGGGGAAGCTGACTAGCTAGTGTTTGAAGTGTTCCCTGTAGCGCAGGATTAGATTCCATCTGGGAGCTCCAGAGGGAAGAAGCAGGCTACACACAAAATCAGAGGCCACTTTGGCTCTACACAGGGAGGAAGGGCTGCCTGGTATTTGGAACTTTTTAGAAATGAACTGGGCTTCCTTATAAGAGAGTTAATTCTTTTTCACTGATGAAGAAGCTGAATAACCTTTCATCATGAGTGTTAACAAAAAGATTTCTATGTCAGGTGCAGTGGTTCTTACATTTTGTTGGGTCTAAGAAACACCTGGGCAACTTGTTAAAAATTTCCAGGCCTAACCTTCAGAAGTATTGCCTCAGTAAATGTGGGATAGTCCAAGAATCTGCTTTTATAACAAACAACCTGGTGGGCCCAAAGTAGGTAGTGAGTGTTCCACCCCTGGAATATGGGTGAACTCATTCCATAAGAAAACCATTTTAGTAAAAAATGTGCTTAGTCAACATAAACACTTCAAAGAAAGTTGTCTTACATTTTGTAAAAGATCTAAGACAAAATTCTTTACTAAGCTGATAGAATGAGAGATGAAATTATTGGAATATAGGATATTAGGATATGGAAGGAGAAGACTTGACTCTCAATCTATGTCATAAAAGATAAGATTTTGATAGAAAAGTATGAAATATAAATCCAGCCTGAAAAATTTTAAATAAAATAAGTAACCCAATCTATGTATGCCAAACAGCAATGTGTTGAAGACCTGGGAAAAGTGATCAGGTTTTCCTAATGGACAGCACTAGTTTCAGGTTAAAGACCCATCAGCCTTTGGGGCCTTGGCTTATATAAACTTCTACTGAAAACTAACAAAACACGTATAGGTAGGAGTTGGAAACGTTGGTTTTTAACTCTGCCTTCCCCCCCCTTTTTTTATTGTGGCTAAAGAGCTTTGCTGGTAAGTGTAGTATATGTTTGATTAATCTGAACTTTTATTTAAAGTGTGCAATCTGAGTGCCACATTTTAGAACAATTGTATTCTGAAATGGCTTTGCTCTCTGTAAATACATTTTTTAAAAAGTATATTTTAAGCATATTTTTACTTGGTGTAATTTATTACCTCATCTCAGTACCTTTCTGATTTAGGTTGTGTAATGATGTTTCATTTGTTTGTAAGCATATTCAAGTTTTTAGAAGAGATAGTCTTTTCCTTTGAAAAACTTTAAAAACTGGCTGCTTTGAGGAACTGGTATTCTCTGAAAAACGTTTTCTTAACTGATAATGTTGATATGATTAGGTCGTTCACTAAGGAGTTCTATCTAGCAGAGGATTTTTGCTTTCAATTTAAGATGTATAAAAGTTCCAAGTGACAAGTATATGTTGATAATAAGTTAAATCCTTGTTTGTCTTTAATTTCTTCTTGCTTTTAATGGTTGACAGACCTCCTCATAGATTATTTTTTTTTCTTGAATCATGAGAGATGAAATTGCAACAACTGTTTTCTTTATCACAAGACTGGTGAAAAAACATGATAAATTGAGTAAGCAGCAAATAGAAGACTTTGCAGAAAAGCTGATGATGATCTTGTTTGAAACATACAGAAGTCACTGGCACTCTGATTGTCCTTCCAAAGGGCAAGCCTTCAGGTAAGAGCGAATATGTGATACGTAAATGGTACCTTAACAACCAGTCAGCCATCTGCTAGGGAAAGGCAATGATTATGTTGTCCATCTATAAATAAAATTTTATAGGCCCAAATTCATTTGCTTGAACATAGGCTTGAAAGAAAAGATGTGGTAGGTAATATTGTAATTGGATACTATAGAGCAAATCCCCTGGTGATAGTTAAGGTTGTATGTCAACTTGGCTGGGCCTGGTTTGGAGTGGCTGGGCAGCTGGATGTAGTTATTCCTCATGATGAGACTGGTTATCAACTCCATGGTAGAATCTGCTAGAGTAGCTGCCTTGGGGATGTGGTCTGCTTCAAGTGTGTATAAGGAGAAGCTTTGAGAGAGGTTTCTGCAGCTTTTTGCCATGCTTGAACCCTGTGTGTAGCTGAGTCTTCATTCAGCAGCCTACCGTGTTTCCTGCCGATCTTGAGACTGTCTCTGGACTTGAGTTAGTGGCCTGCCGTATTGTTTGATGATCTTGGGACTGTGCCATTTTATTTGTCAACCTTGGGCTTGTTAGCCTCAGTAGCCAGCAGCTGCCGAAGTGAAGTGACATCTTCAGCTCCAGTGGGCAGGGAGCAAGAGGCAGAGCTGAAGCCCAAGGTTGAGGGGCTTTCACCCAGCCCCTAGAGCTGGCACTTTGAACTCAGACTTCTAGACTCCTAAACTATAAGAACAAACTCCTGCTTGTTAAAGCCATCTACATTTGTGATATCCTCTGTTAGAGTGACACTAGAGAACCAAAACACCCTTATGTGAGGTGGGTTAAATATCTACTTGTGTTTGCCATGAAAGATATGCAGGGAATATTTGTAACTTATTGACTTAGTAACACACATTCTTAGTCACTGCATATAAAGCTGTTTTACTTGTAAACTGGGAGGAGGCAGGGGGGCAGTGGTGGGAAGTGGGGAGCTGTGTATTGGAGCAGTCTGCCTACACCATGATCATCCTGGTAAAGCACTTGTCTTGTCCTTGTTTCCTTTTCCTTGTTAAGGTGTATCAGGATAAACAATTTTCAGAATAAGGATCCCATTCTAGAAAGGGCTTGTGCTGAAAGTAGTGTGGATTTTTCTCACCTGGGACTTCCAAAGGAGATGACCATTTGGGTAGATCCCTTTGAAGTGTGCTGTAGGTGAGTGAGCTCATTGGAGTTGGATTTGGGTGCTCTGTGATGCCTGAACACCTTAAATTATTAAGTGAGTCCTATAGACCTTTGTAGGATGCCCTGGGTGATGCAAATAGTTTGCTCAGCTGCTAACCAAAAGGTTGGAAGGACGAGCCCACCCATAGACATTTAGGAAGAAAGGCCTGGTGGTGTACTTCCAAAAACTCAGCCATTGAAAACCCCATGGGGCACAGTTCTACTCTGACACACATGGAGTTACCACAAGTCAGAGTCAACTCTATGACAACTTGTTATAGACCTTTGGAAAAATTATGCTCCCCAGCCTAGCATTAGCATGAAGACCCAGGCTAGTTAAGAGTTTAGATGTAAACCTAAACAATACAGATTTCCATTCAGAGTGGGAAACAAAAATTTTATTACAAACTGTAGCTTATAACTTCTAAGTATTTTAGGCAATTCCAAGGGGAGAAAGGACTTATCTACTATTGCATAATTCAGTCCACTCATTGAATCAAAAGAAGCTAGTCTTTTTCTAAACAATTAGCCAAAATAGCACTTACAGACTACCCTCACCAATTATGACAGTGTGTTAGTTGGAGGTCATGATGTCCTTCAATTAGTTTTGCTGTAAAGCCATTCCAACTTTATAGACCTATCCCTTTTGAATACTCCTTCATAGAAGTTAGTGAGTTGTTTTCAGAGAGAATTTGTGAGAAGTTGAATCCCTAATGAATAATTTTCCTTTCTTAGGTATGGTGAGAAAAACCACCCATTTACAATTGCATCTTTTAAAAGCAGATGGGAAGGATGGGAACTATCTCAACGGATCAGTCATGCTGTTAATAGAGCCACAGTAGACTACTCTTCTGGCACCTCCTCGGATGAAGAAAGTTATAGCAATGAACCTCAGATAATTCCTAAGGTCAGCAACCCAAACAGTATCTATCAGGTAAAGTGTGTTCCAGTTCTTCTCTATGCCTTTTTTTTCTATTTTAATTTTTAAAAGAATATACGCAATTGTGGTGGTTATATTTGTGTGTCAACTTGGCTGGGCCTGGTTGAGTGGCTGGGCAGCTGGTGGTAGTTATTCCCCATGATGAGACTGGCAATCAACTCCATGGTGGAATCTACTGTGAGCAGCTGAGTAGCTGCCTTTGGGTTGTGATCTGCTTCTTGTATATAAGGAGAAGCTTTGGGAATGGTTTCTAGCCTATGGCACACTTGGACCCTGCACGTAGCCGTGTCGTTGCTCAGCAGCCTGCTATGCTCTGCCAACCTTGGGACTTACAATGGACCTAAGTTTCTGGCCTGCCGTGTGGTTTGGTAACATTGGGACTGTGCTTTTACTTGTTAATCGTGGGGCTTCTTGGCCTCAGCAGCCAGCAGCTGTCTGAATGAAGAAAAGCTTCTAGCTCCAGTGGGCTGAGAACAGGAGGCAGAGCTGGACCCCAAGGTTGAGGGGCTTTCACCCAGCCCCTACAGCCTGGCACTTTGAACTTGGACTTAAAGCCTCCAAATTTTAAGAATAAACTCCTGTTTGTTAAGGTCATCCCATATGTGGTATATTCTTGTTAGAGTGGCAGTAGGTAACCAGAACATCAATGTGAAACAAAAAACAAAATGTGGGAAGAAAAAAAATTTACAAAGATTTAAAAAACCACACTTATTATTTTCACAAAAGATTTTTTTCTGTAGTGTTCTTTCTTGAGTGATTGCTTGGGATATATAAAATGTTTTATAGTCATGTTATTTCATAGAGTTTTTACTGCCTACCCCTCAAAAACAGCTCCCGAAACCTAAATCCATTGCCATCAAGTCAATTCTGACTTACAGTGACCCTATATGACAGAGTAGAACTGCCCCATAGAGTTTCCAAGACTGTAAATCTTTATGGAAGCAGACTGCCTCATCTTTCTCCTGCGGAGTGGCTGGTGGGTTCAAATTGTTGACATTTTGGTTAGCAGCCCAAAGCTTTAACCACTATGCCACCAGAGTTCCTATAGAGTATTTAAACATATGCAAATTTCCTTCTACTTAAATTCTTTCAGACCTACATATTAAAATTAGTGGTTTTCTTAATTTTTATCAGTAGAAAATAACACCATTTGTAGAAAATTTGAAATATTCAGGAAAGGCCAACATCTGTAACCCTGTCACCAAAGAAATTTTTCTCATTTTTTTTTCCCCTCAACACAACCCATGGAAATATTTATGTATCTACATCTGAAATAGGTTCACAAAAGAGTACTTATCTGTACTAGGTGCAATGCCTCCAACAATCTCTATGAAATTATATTGATGATGTCAACCACCTCAGCTGATTTCATGAGCCAATAGTGATGGTAACCCACAGTTTGAAAAACATTGATCTAGGGAGGATCTCTTAACATGTTATGTATGCACTTGTTTGTATGCTTTCTTAAACACTTACATGTTAAATGTTAAATAATTACATTGATATTCATTTGCTGCTCTTGTAATTTAGCTAATCTGTGGGCAGACATCTAGATTGTTTTGACATTGCTGTGATTTAAAAAAAGCTTATAATTTATACAGGGATGTCTGGATTTTAAGTTACTTCTTGAGATTTGATTCTTAGACATAGAATTACTAGGTTGCTGGGTATGAACATCTTACTGGTTGCTAATATATGGCCAAAGTAACTTCTAGAAAGCATATTTATATGAAGTCTCACTAGGTTTGTGTGACAGTAAATATTTTACTATTTCCCACTCCCTAGAATTGGGAATTTGATAATTTGATTAAAAAAAGGTATCTATATTATGAACACTTATTATTAATAACATTTGAAAAAAACCTGTGCCCAAATGCTTTAGGCACTTACTGTCTTATGAATTTTCTCTTCACTCGTTTATCATATGAAGCCCTAGTGTATTATTATACGTTCTTCATAGGTCAGGGATATTTTAACCCTTTGCCATGTTGAGGGCAAATATTTTGCTCTAATTTGTCCGTTTTATAAATGATCTCTTACATGTACAGAAGTTTGAAATCGTGTAGTTAAGTACTTGGCCCTGATTGTACTTTTATATTTGTTGTTGTTGTTATGTGCCGTCGAGTCATACCTGACTCATAGCGACCCCTCCTTGGGTTTCCGAGGCAGTATCAACTACGGAAGTAGGATTGCCCAACCTTCCTTCCGAGGAGTGGCTGGTGGGTATGAACCGCCAGCCGTCTGGTTAGCAGGCAACTGTCTTAGCCACTATGCTACCAGAGCTCCTTAGAAAGGTCTTATTCCACCTAGGGATCAGATCTATCATCATCTATGTTCTTCTAAAAACCAAAACCCAACTCATTGCTGTTGAGTTGATTTCGATTCATAGTGACCCCTCCTTGGGTTTCTGAGGTGGTATCACTATGGAAGTAGATTGCCCAACCTTCCTTCCAAGGAGTAGCTGGTAGGTTTGAACTGCCAGCCTTCTGGTTAGCAGTCATATGTCTTAGGCACTACGCTACCAGAGCTCCCTTAGCAGTCAAATATGTTCTTCTAGAGCAGTTCTTTTCAAAGTGTGATTTGTAAAACATCTTTATTTGGTCATTTGGAATGTCTAAAATGGATATTTATAGGCCTCAGCCCCAGAGATTATGACAAGACAGTTTTGAGTTGAGGAGGCCAGGGGTCGGGTAGAGGAGTAGAAAACCCAAGAATATACAAATTTGAATAAATGCATTTTGAAAACAATCTAGTTGGATTAAAGAATTAATTTTGGTAAAAGCTATGAAGTGACTTAGGAGTCCCTGGGTGGTACAAATGGCTAGCTCATTTGGCTGCTAACCAAAAGACAGGGAGTTGGAGTCTACCCAGAGGGACCACTAAAGGAAAGGCCTGGTGATCTACTCTTGAAAAAAATTACAGTTGAAAACTCTACGGGGCACAGTTCTACTCTGACACACATGGAGTCACCATGAATCATTGCACTGAAGGTCAACTGGTTGGATGAAGTGACTTTCACTACCCTGAATGCTAGCTACTTTTCCTAACATAATTTTTGTCAGCTTTGATTTTTATGCATTTGAACTCCTAAACTTTTCATTTTAAAAATTGTTTTGTTGAGACACGCACAGCAAAACATATACAAACCCAACAGTCTTTTCCATGTATGGTTTAGTGACAGTGATTACCTTTTTCAAGTAGTGCAACCATTCTTACCCTCCTTTCTGAGTTGCTCCTCCCACATTAACATAAATTCACTGTCCCTACAGTTGCTTTCTAATCTTTTGAGTTGCTGTTTTCAAGTTGATACCATATAGATAGTTCTTAATTGAGCATAATGCTCCAGGCAGACATTTCTTTACTAGTTAAGATAAACTCTTGTTTGTTTTTTAGGAGCTCTGGTAGTGTAGTGCCTAAGGCTAACCAGAAGGCTGGCAGTTCAAAACCATCAGCCACTCCTCAAAAGGAAGGTTGGACAATCTATTTCTTTAGTGATACTGCCTTGGAAACCCAAAGAGGGGTTTCTATTTAGTCTTTCATCATTTTAACAAAACCAGGCCAAACCTGTTGCTTTCAAGTTAGTTCCGGCTCATGATGACTCCATGTGGGTCATAATAGAACCGTGCTCCACAGGGTTTTCAATGACAAATTCTTCAGAAGTAGATCGCCAGGCCTTTCTACCAAGGTGCTTCTGAGTGGACTTGAACCACCACCTTTCAGTTAGCAACCAAGCGCATTAACCATTTGCACTTCCCACAGACTCCATTTAGTGATTGTTGTTGTTAGAGCTACTTTATTAGTTTAAAGAAGATCTTTTGTACTTTTTTGTCACCCAGGTTGAAAACTTAAAACAGCCCTTTCAATCGTGGCTCCAGATCCCTAGCAAAAAGAATGTGACCGATGGCCAAGTCAGCTTCCTAGGAAATGCTTATTATGCATCGCACAAGAGTTATAGGACTGCTGCTGTGTTGGTAGGACACCGGGTGGACAGGTACCATTGGGTCAACACAAACAGATAAAGCTGTGACTGGGCCCAAGGTGGGGCAGAGCTCAGAGGGGTGGCTTTACTTTATTTTAAACTAAAGTGAATCTAGGTTCAGAGGTCCCTGAAACAGAAAAAATAACCACATTAGGGATTATAGTACACAATGGTGAATCCCTCATACAGACTCTGTTCTTAGTTGTACATATAGTTCTTAATACTTAATTTTATATGAAGTTTTTATATAATGTTTTATATATAGCACTAATGAATGAGCCCAATAAGGTAATAGAATATACCAAACTGTGATAAGATTCAACTAATTATGAAAAGCAACAATTTAAATAAATGTACTGTGTTTTTAATCCTTTTCTATTTGTTTATTGCAAGAAAGTTTTAAAAAGTTTGTTCCTACTTATTAGCTAAAATAGAGGACTTTCATTTAGCAGGAATGGTTACTGATCATACAGTATTCTGGCTCCTACTTTATTCCTTTCTATCATTGTTCTATTTTATAATTCCAGTAAGAGCTTGTTTGAAAATTACTCTTACAGTTATTTTTTCTTTCTTTTTTTAAAGATACCCAGACAGGAATTTTATCTTTTAAAACAATTTGATTCATTTTATAGCCTCTTAATAGGCTTAATAAATATGACTTCTTTTGTAACAGTGAATACATACTTATTATAAAGAATTCAAGCTAAGCTGGAAAATACACCAAGAAAATAAATTCCTACTACTCAGATATTACCATTATTAACATTAAATAGTAAACATCTTTTCAGTTATCCTATGTAGATACATGGATGTAAGAACTGATAGACAAACAAGTAATTTGATAACAAGACCATAGTAGAGAGGCAAGTCATAAAAGAGCTGGATTTAATTTACTTGATCTTAGCACAATGGAAAAAACCCAAAGTGATACTGATAGAATTGGTGAACTATTTCTAAGCTTTTATACCACAAACTATTTTCTTTCTTGAAGGACCTCTTGTATTGAAAAATAATAGAAAACATTAAAAGACTGTTTAATTTTATACAATATTGTTTATGTTAAGAAAGCTGCAGAAACTAGCATTCTTAATTTCTTCTGTCCCTCATTTCTTGTGTCATTTTTTATTGTAGTAAATAAATATGTAACAAAATATTTGTCATGTCAATAATTTTCACATACACAATTCAGTGACATTAATTCTGTTCATTATTTTGTGCAACTATCACCATTATCCATTTCTAAAATTTTCCATCACTGTTAACAGAAAGCTCTGTGTTTCCTATATAATGACTTTCCCTTTCCTCCTCTCTCCTGCCTGCCCCTGGGTAACTATCAATAAACTTAAGTCTGTATACATTTGGGGAAGATATTTCATAAAAGTGGATATTTCATAAAAGTGGAATAACAATATTTTTCTTTTGGTGTCTGACTTTCATTCATGTTTAATATCAAAGCTGAACATTTATGTTCAGTCCTGAAACAATTATTTCTATAGTTGTTTTGTCTTAGTTCTGTGTTTAAGCTGATTTAGTGTTCACCAGTAATCTTTTCACACTATTGCTCTGTATGGAAACTACTTTGATTTACCTGTGATTAGCTGGATTTTATTGAGTAGCTTTTTCACAAATGGCTTATTGGTGCTATATTCTGTGAGTTCATTTGTGCTTGAGACTTTCCTTTTATACCTGAAGGACAGCTCGGCTGGGTATTAAGATCATAGGCCTTTTTTTCCCTTACAGCTTTCTAGGTATCATACTACCTTTAACGTGTTCTGGAATTCTATGATGCTGTGGAGAAATCTGAGACCAGCTTGATTTTTCTGAATCCCCACATGCACAATGCACATACATATTTACTTTTTAAAAAAATTTTTACCTGCCAGTTTGAAATTCTTTCTCTGTACTTCAAGTGCATGTCTGTCAATCATTCTGTATCGCTTTTCTTGAAACACTGTACCTTTCTGATCTGCAGATTTATATTTAGAGCAAATTTCTGCAATATTATCTTTGAACACTTTTTTCATCCATTCATTTCAGGAATACTTATCTTTCTGCTGAATCATTTTTTGTCTGTATCTATTTTTTTATCTGATGACTTTAATCTTTATTTTTTTGAGGCCATGATTGTATTAAGCCTTCTGTCAATTTGATTCTCAGCCCTGTCTGGACTGTTTCTAACTTATTAGTTCTATGATAATATTTTGGGTTTCAATTAGTTTCTTTCTCAGTAGTCTACCTTGTCATCTAGTTTTAATCATCTATCTCTGAATGTTTGAACCCATGTACTTACTGAATTTTTTGAATACAAGGCATTATGGGAAATTTTCTTCTGCCCTAGGTTATATTTTGTTTTTTGCTGAATTTTTCTGTATTTTGCACTAATCTTTTTTTTTTTGTGTGTGTGTGTGTGTAGTGTTAATATATACCATGTTTATTTTCTCTTGCTTTTGTTTAATGTGGACACTCCCTCTAGAACTTCTATTTGCTCTACTATTGTGTGGATGACTTTTTCTCTTATAAAATCTATTTGTGCTACCTACTAGGTTTAGATATTAATCCACTTTTATATAGCCTGAGGGTGTTAAGTGTTGGGAGAGAGTCACTCAGCTGGAAATGTGTGAAATCTTAGGAAAAAAATGAACTCTGCTCTCTGAATTTTTGTTAAATGCTTTGTGCTAAAGTTCATGCCTTTAGCTAAGTAAAGATAGGGCTATGAGTTATATTAGCCTGCTCCTATGGTTTTTAATTGTTATTTTCTATTTACAGTGAATTCTTAGAGCCTATACTTTTACCCAAGAATCTTCCCTGGTCATTATTTTTCTGTCTCACCTATCTTTCTCTACCATTCATCCTACTTGCCTCCAGTCCCTACCAATTGCTAGAGGGAAAGGTGAGGATGCCTCTTCAGTCTGTGTTTCTATAAATTTGCTGATATCAGTGAGAATTCTTTTGCCCACTACTTTTTTAAGTTTATGTTGTGAGGAAATGCACCTTGGGTTGATGCTGGTAAATTTTGTTTCTGTTAGATGTTTTAGTTCTTTTTATTAGATATTAGGAGATAGAGATTCAGTAATCCAGTTTTACTTTATGTTGTTTTTTTTTTTTTTCCCAAAAATTCCCCTTGTCTAAAACTTCTAACTTCTAGGCTTCTAATTGTTCCTAGGAAATTCCTAAAACCTTGGTTGGATCCATTTCTATCCATGCTGTTTGTTTCCAGTTGGGCCCTCATTGTTATTCAGCAACTTCTATTAATTTCCGTAATCCATATTGTGACCCTCTCATAAATTTTTCTATTTTCTTCCATATTCTGGCATTCTTAGCAAGGGACTTAAGTTCTTTTTGTTCTTTTCCAAAATATTTTTTAATTCCCTCTCATCTTCATTTTGAACCTTTAGTTTTCCCTTCTTCTTGTACATACTCTCTCTACAATCAGGTCCTCTTGCCTGGTTTCTGCTGTTAGTTTATTCTGGATCCATGAGGTAGGTGACATTGAAGCAATTTCAACTTGGTTTTCTTGTGGACAGACTTGTGCTTTAGGCTAGTTGCTCTGAATGAATACAGCAAGTTACGACTTTTTGAGAGTCCTGACTTGGACTCTGCAACAGGAATCATACTAGTGTTGATAAGAGGAAGCTTGTCTTTAATCTCATTACTTTGGGCACAGATCTTGATTATTATTTTTTTTTCTAGTAATGGTGTTTTTTTTTTTTTTTTTTAGGGCACTTTGTATCTTTCAGGAGAGTCCAGCAATTTTGACAGAGAAAGCTTGACCTAACATGACAGTGTAATAGGTGAGCTTATCATCTTTTAAAAAGGTATCCCCTATATCCTGGCAGTTGAGAATCTCTCTAGATTTTCTTGAAGGCATCTGTAACACCAGCTTACTAGTCCCTCAGCAGACCATCTCCTGTGGGTGGTTGTGGTGGTCTCCAGCCTCCATAGTTCGAGTCTCAAAAAAAAAAAAAGAGGCAGAAACAAGACTACTGACAAGAGGGTTTAAGTATTAAGCTTTAGGGTGCTGCTGTGTCTGTGGATGTCCTTCATTTTCACCCTTACCCATTGTTCTGGTTACCTAGTACTGCTCTGACAAGGATATACTACAAATGGGATGGCCTTAACAGTTTATTCTCTTACAGTTCAAGAGGCTAGAAGTCTTGAGTTCAAAGTGCCAGGCTCTAGGGGCTGGGTGAAAGCCCCTTGACCTTGGGCTTCAGCTCTACCTCTTGTTCCTGGCTCACTGAAGCTAGAGGCATTTCTTCACTCAAGCAGTTATTGGCTGCTGAGGCTAACAAGCCCAAGGTTAACAAATAAAATGGCACAGTCCTGATGTTACCAAACCACACAGCAAGCCATTAATTCAAGTCCATTGTAAGTCCTGAGGTCAGCAGAGCATGGCAGGCTACTGAACAGTGACACGGTTACATGCAGGGTCCATGCATGCCATAAGCTAGAGACTATCCCCAAGGCTTCTCCTTAAGTACGGGAAGCAGACCACATCCCAAAGGCAGCTACTCAGCTGCTTGTGGTAGATCCCACCATGGAGTTGATTGCCAGT